AAGTTAACAAATAACCATTTTGTTTAAGAGCGCCATCACGGGATCTATTTTCACCTTCTTCTTCATGGGTTGGCTTAGTATTTCGGCCCAAATTGCCATAAACTCTGGGGAAATTCATCCCGAGGAAAAGCCAGTCAGCGTGGAAGGCTGCGATTATGAGTTCGACCGTTCCCTGCTGACCCCTGCAAATGCCACTCTTCATAGTGGAGAATCCGCGTAAGTTTGCGAGGATATCGCCAAGATCTGTTTCTGTTCTCATCCTAAAACCGTAATCCCACAGGTCCCTCAGTTTCGCCGAGCAGTTATACCACATATCCTTCCTGTTTTACACTGTAATGGGGGGAACACTGAGTGTGATTGTGGGCCATTTGGCTGGTTTCATATTTGGTCGCAATAAGCCCGGCGACGTGAGTGACGATTTGCTATCACCCTGCATACGCAGATTCCAGAAGTCGAAATATTCCAGCGTAAACTTGAATGAGACCTCTTTAAAGTGCTCTGATGAGAAATCATAGAGTATTCTTTGACTAACATATATTTACTTTACTAATCCACTTAAATTCCGAATTTTGTTATTCCGCTTCACTCTTTTGAGCCTAAAAGGTTCTTAAATGATTTGCAAAGCATACTTCCTTACCACTTAATGTATAATCTACCCTGAAGATTGCACCATCCATATATGAGACACCAGGCAATCAATTAACACTTTTGTTGTTTCGTACTTAAAAATAAAGCTTCAACTGACTTACCCTTTCTTGGCTTTAGTATTTTGGTTTTAAGTTATTAAGTTTTGTCCTTACATTGCCCTAAGATTTATGGGTTCTTGACAATTCATAAATGTTTATGTTGAAAACTCGTTCTTTTGAATATAGTTCAGGCTGAGTAAGTCCAATAAGCAATTCGAGAATACTTCTAACCCGCGTTATACCCGAAACCTAGAGGCTCCGCCAAATCGAGCGCCACGTGCTGACTTTTGTGCACTTTTCCAGTTACTGGAATAAATATACATGTCATCACGCCAATCGTGTGCCTCGTCTGCATATTCTACACAGCAGCCGGCGGACTGAAGGCCGTCGTCTGGACAGATGTGATCCAAACCGTCATCATGGTGGGAGCCATTTTCTTCGTCATCATCAAGGGCACCGTCGATTTGGGCGGACTGGGCGTGGTTATTCAGCGGAATTTCGACACCGGACGCATGGAGTGGCCTGAGTGGGTGAAAACGGTTTACTAGAGCAGGTACCACACATGGCATGTAATCCGGCCAGGATGTGGGGTGCATTGGCTCGCTGGCCTATTCATAATGTGGTACATTTTCGAAACAGATTGACGCTGGATCCCAAGGTGCGAATGTCCATGTTGGCATTGATGGTGGGCAACGTGGCACACAACACGTACAACCTCGGATGCAATCAGATCATCACCCAGCGATACCTGTCACTGCCCGGATTAAAGCAGATGGCCCAGTGCTCGTTCCTCTTCATTTCCGGATTGGTTGTTCTGATGGCCATCTGCATGTACAATGGACTCCTGCTATCCGCAACCTACTACGACTGTGATCCCTTGACCACAAAGGTGGGGATTTATTAGAAAACGATGTATTTAGATACTAAACCTGAAAGTTACTTACAGTTGGCGGTGGCCAAGGATCAGCTGGTTCCCCTGCTGGTGGTGCAATCCATGAGCTCATTTCCCGGAGTTCCCGGCATGTTTGTGGCCGGAGTGTTTAGTGCTGCCCTCAGTTCCCTGTCCACGGGTATGAATTCCCTAGCCGCTGTTTTCCTGGAGGATTACATCAGGCCCTTGACCAGGAAGCCGCTTACGGAGCACCAAACCGCTGTTATCATGCGTGTCTGTACGGTTTTGATTGGAGTCATGAGTGTTGCTTTGGTCTTTGTTGTGGAGCAGATGGGCTCCCACGTCATGCAGCTTTCCATGACCGTGGGATCGGTGGTCCAGGGTCCACTTCTGGCTCTCTTCGTGATGGGCCTGCTGTGCCCAAGCATCAACTCAAAAGTATGAATACTCACATTTCTTTCTGCTATTAGTTAGAAATATTTAACACATTTTAGAGCGCCATAGTGGGATCCCTTTGCTCCTTCTTCTTCATGGGATGGCTGTGCCTATCGGCGCAATTGGCCATCAATTCCGGCGAAATGCAGTTCGAAAGCAAACCAGTTAGCGTAGAGGGCTGCGACTACGAGTTTGATCGTGACCTGGTGACTCCTGCCAACGCGACCATTCACATAACCAACTATGAGTAAGTTTTACTGGTTACATGTATGTATATAGCTTGCCCTTTATGTTATTCCCACAGATCGCTCAGTTTCGCGCAGCAGCTGTACCACGTCTCATTTATGTTCTATTGTTTTATTGGCGCCGCAGTGGGCGTGATCACCGCCTACCTGGCGGGTTTTGTCTTTGGCCGCAATACCGCCGATGATGTGGATGTCGAATTGCTGTCACCCTGCATTCGCGGATTCCACAAGTCCAGCTATGCCAGCGTGAAGCTGGACGAGAATACCCTGAAGAGTTTCAATGCGAAGACGTAGAAAGTAGTTCCATGCCATGTACTTGCCAATAAAATACATACTTAAGCAGCACTTCCAGTTTTGTTCAGTTAGGTTAGGACTTTGCTTGCCAAATCCTGTAAATAGCAACTACCACTGTCTGCTCAATTAAGCATGAATACGAATTCTCTTGTTAACTTTATAATTGATATGTGAAACCTAACCAACTAACTAATTTTGAACCTTCAGTACTTTCAATTGCGCTACGGCGCTGGCATACGCAACTTGGGCTCGGTTCTATTTATTGTGGGAACGGTGAGTGGAAATTCAATATATATTTATAGTATATTCACATTTATTCGGTCCCCCCACAGATGCTGTGGCTTCCTGTGGCGCTATATGTACCGGCCATCACTTACAATCAAGGTGAGTTTGATTTTCGATTAAGCAGGTTATGCTTTTCAGCAACTGGCTGCTTATAAGTGCACTTGCGCAAATGGTATAATGGTATACCAAATTTAGATAACCTTCTTGTAGATGACTTCCTTGATTTGAGTTTGTTGAGGTGTGTACTACCAAATATTAACATCTTTCAGTGACTGGCACTGGCATCCATGTAATTACGCCCATTGTGTGCACTATCTGCACTTTCTACACGTGTGTGGTGAGGCTTAATTAAATTTGGCCAGCATTTTGTGGCCCATCTGGAAGACTTTCTTCATTTCAGGGCGGACTGAAGGCCGTTGTTTGGACAGATGTCATTCAGAGCTTTGTGATGTTCGGTTCCATTTTGGCGGTTTGCATCAAGGGCACCTTGGACGTGGGCGGACTGGGCGTGGTTCTGCAGCGCAACGAAGACGGCGGACGTCTCAATGCACCGGAGTAAGTCTACAACTGATGCATTTTCTCATTGATTTTTGACTACTCCAAGCCGAACAGCTGGACCTGGGATCCCACGGTGCGACTGTCCATGCTGTCCGTGATTTTGGGTGGCACCCTGCATAAGATCCAGTCCTCGGATGTCAACCAGGTGTCCATCCAGCGGTTCCTATCCCTGCCGAGTTACGAGCATGCCAAGCGATGCATGCTGGTTTTCACAGTGCTACTCATCTTCCTACTCAGCTGCTGCAGTTACATGGGCCTGGTGTCCTATGCCGTCTACCACGACTGTGATCCGATAAGCACTAAGGTAGCTAGAAAATATTATTAATATTTTTTCTCGCAACATTGATGTATTTCAGTTGGCGGCAGCCGTCGACCAACTGCCTTCGCTGCTAATGATGCGAACGCTGGGTGCCTTACCTGGATTACCAGGACTCTTTGTGTCTGGCGTTTTCAGCGCTGCCCTGAGCTCACTTTCCACGGGCCTCAATTCGCTGGCCTGTGTCATTACTCAGGATATCGTGAGACCCTTGCTGAAAAAACCGATGACCGAGCGCCAGACGGCTTTTTGGTTGCGGGCAATTGTCGTTGTTTGCGGATTCTGTTGCCTGGGAATGGTCAACATTGTGGAGAAGTTGGGACAAGTGGTTCCACTGGCCACCAGCACGGCGGCTGTTTCGATGGGTCCTCTATTGGGCATTTATTGCATGGGCGTGGGCCTGCCTTGGGTAAAGGGAAAGGTGAGTTTATAATTACCTACATTGCATTTATTTTATTAATGATTTATTCCGCGTCAGAGCGTGCTCCTTGGCAGTGTGGTATCCTTTTTGGTCTTGTCCTGGATTTGTGTCAAGGCGCAGTTGGCTCAGATGAATGGAGAGATTCGTTATCCCAAACTTCCCGTTTCGGTGGATGGCTGTGACTATGTTTTCGATAATCAGACAGTTCTTGAAACCATCTACGAGTACAGGTAAGTATGGGACACTGTAGCTCAGCCAATGAAGACATTTTTATTTTATATTTTAGACCCTCGGAGCGAAACATCTACCACTTATCGTTCCTGTGGTACACGGCGTTGGGCGGCTTCATTTGCACTGTGGTTTCGGTGTTGGCAGGACTCGTTTTCGGTTGGGAGGATCTTAATAAAATGGATCCAGCCTTGATAACGCCCTGTATGCGACGCTTTTTGCCCAATAAAAACTACGAGGCTGTTAATATGGAGGATCTCTTTAAGCGCAGGGACGAAATGGAGTCCCAAAAAGCTTCTTAAACTTTGTCAATAAAACATTTACTTTGTGTTCTGCAAATCTGCTTTTGATTTAAATGTGTGTAAATATGAAAGTATAATATGAAAGAATATGAAAAAAATATAAAGTCTGTCTATTTAATTTATTTAATGCATCTTGTAAATATCCATTTCGCATCCTGTAAAAATTGCGCTTGTTTCTGTTTGATTTCGTTTATCTTAGTACTTCGAAAGACGTTTCGATCGACGAGTTCGCATCTTTGGGTCCTGCCTCTTTGTTGTGATGAATGTGAGTTAATTGGTAAGAGAATATTGGTAAATTACTAAGGATATTAAAATTTGTAGATTTTGTGGCAGCCAATTTGCATATATATCCCGGCTCTGACGCTAAATCAAGGTAGCTAAACTCCCAAGTTATTACTATATTCCATTTAATATTTATTATATTTATTGATCAGTTTCTGGGATAAGCGTCAGCAAGATTGTACCTGTGACAAGTTTTATTTGCATTCTATACACCAGTGTTGTAAGTATATTATATTATTATAAGGTTTGATTACTTACATCTGTTATAGGGTGGAATCAAGGGTGTTGTGTGGACGGATGTCATTCAGGGAATCGTAATGATCGGTTCCATGCTCATTGTCATCATAAAGGGCACTTTGGATTTGGGTGGCTTGAGCGTTGTTCTGGATCACAATCGTCAGTACGATCGTCTAGTGGGTCCAGAGTAAGTACTCCTCGTATATTACTTAATATTTCTTAAGCCAATATTTAATTTTAGCATGACCTTTGATCCAACTGCAAGAATGGGCGTGTTTGCCTTGTTCGTCGGTGGTGCCCTGTTCAAGTTGCAGTCAAATGGCATAAATCAGGCTATAGTCCAGCGTTACCTAACTTTGCCCAATAATAAGGCCGTTGGGAAGGCTTTGGTTCTATCATTAATTGGCTTTATGCTCGTGATGTTGATGTGCGTTTATATTGGAATGCTGGCATTTGCCGAGTTCTATCATTGCGATCCCATTACAACGGGTGTAAGTGCTTACACATGGAAATATTATCCCAATGAGTCGAATTTATTACTACTTTATGTTACCATTGCAGTTAGCTCGTGCCAAGGATCAAGTCATACCCCTATATGTGGTCAAAAATGTTGGCCATATTCCCGGTCTGGTTGGGCTCTTTGTAGCTGGAGTGTTCAGTGCCGCACTGAGTTCCCTTTCGACGGCTCTAAACTCCCTTTCCGGAGTGATTCTGACGGACTTTGTGGAGCCCTTTAGGAAGAAGCCCTTGACCGAACGGCAAACCGCCTATTTGTTGAGAGGAGTGGTCGTCTCCTTCGGCCTGATCTCGATGGCCAGTGTACCGATTGTCCAGAGACTCGGCCTGGTCATGCAGCTATCCTCAACAGTGGCGGCCATAACTTGTGGTCCGCTTCTTGGCGCCTTCAGTGTGGGCATGCTACTGCCATTTGTTAAGACGGAGGTTTGATTGAACTTGTAAGAATTGAAAGGAAATTACTAGACAAAATGTATCTATTTGCTTAGAGCCTTCTCACAGGCATCTCCTGCGCCTGTACTTATACCGCCTACATTGTGGTGCGAGCTCAAATAGCCATTTTCACAGGAGCTCTGACTTTTCCAACGAAACCCGTTTCCATTGAAGACTGTGACTATACATTTGATCTTCCTGCGAACTGGAATGCCACGACCTCGGCGTATGTACTTGTTCCACGTGATAAAATTGTATCGAACTTTTGTTCAACTGAACCATTTCTTTTTATACAGAACCCCAACGGAATCTAAAAGTCATGGCATTCATGAAATCTCATTTTGGTGGTACACCGCAATTGGTTCTGTGGGTACAGTACTTGCATCTCTGCTGGCCACTGTCTATTTTGGCAAACAGGATCCGCTGGTGGTGGATAAGGAACTTATCAGCCCTGTCCTGCGGAAATTCTGGTATGGGAGATACGAAAGCGTGGCCAGTGAAGAGAAAAACAATATTAATCTTCGGGAAATGAACTGAAATTGGAGCATTCTGGAAAGTCCTATGGATTATCATTATATTTTACTTGAATCTCGTAAATACATTTACGCCCTTTGCAAAACCAAAACGTTGTAGTTTCTTCTTAGTTTTTAGAATCCGTTGTGTACTTTATCTTAACCGAATGCTTAAGCTTGATTTTTTTAGCTAACTCTTAAAATCAACCTTCAACTGGATCTGTCCCATGATCAGCAATTCTTGACGAATCCTTACTTATACACACTCACTCTTTCAGTATTTTGAGAGACGTTTTAGCCGCCGAATGCGTTTGTTTGGAGCTGGCTTATATGTTCTCAAAGCGGTAAGTGCACGTAAATAACCCAAGAAATAACTTATCTAATATGATTTCAACATTTAAGATTATTTGGCTTCCCATTGCCGTTTATGTGCCCGCTTTAACCTTCAATCAAGTGTCCGGAATTGGTATTCATACCATCACTCCAATAGTGGTCATCATTTGCACATTCTACACCTGCGTGGGCGGCATTAAGGGCGTGGTCTACACGGATGTGGTTCAGAGCGTTATCATGTATGGATCCTTGATCATGATCATGCTCAAGGGAACCTTGGATGTAGGTGGATTTGGGACTGTGTGGAAGATAAACCAGGAGGGCGGACGACTTAATACCCCAGAGTAAGTGGCAATTGAAAAATATCTTATCATCTTTTAATGAATTCCCATATGCTCTAGATGGAGTATGGATCCCACAGTTCGATTAAGTGTCTTCTCTGTGTTTGTTGGTGGAACTTTCTTCAAGTTGCAAAGCACCTCCATCAACCAGGCCACAGTTCAACGTTTTATGTCCTTGCCATCCCTGAAAGCCATCAAACAGACCCTCTTTATATTCTCCATTGGACTGGTGCTGCTCTACATGGGATGCGTCTATGTGGGATTGGTGTGCTATGCCACCTATTACGATTGCGATCCCATGTCTACAGGAGTAAGTATACAACATAGATTGTGGATAGTGAATTGGAACGGTATGGTATGGGATCTATTTTTTATAGCTTGCAGGACGTCGGGATCAGCTAGTTCCGCTGCTAGTGATGAGGGTCCTGGGGGTTGTGCCTGGTCTGCCAGGACTCTTTGTCTCAGCTGTGTTCAGCGCTGCCTTGAGCTCCTTATCCACGCTCCTCAACTCACTGGCCGCCGTTATCCTGGAGGACTTTGTTAGGCCACGTATGGGGAAATCGATGAAGGAGAAGCACGTGGCTTTGACCATGAGAGTGGTGGTGGTAGCCTTTGGCATAAGCTCCATTTTCATGGTCTATGTGGTGGAGAAACTGGGCATGGTGCTGCAACTGTCGGCCACGCTTCAGTCAAGTTTATATGGACCGATGCTGGGCATTTTCACGGTGGGAATGCTAATGCCTTGGGTGGGCGAAAAGGTAAGAATATAAATTTAAATGTTTTGTTATTTATATAACTATTATTTAATTGCAGTGCATTTTCATAGGCAGCATTGCCTCCTTTTTAACCATGGCCTGGATAGCAGTTAACGCGCAAATTGCCAACATTACAGGATCCTTCCGACACACCAAACTGCCCGTTTCTGTGGAGAACTGTGACTATGATTTCGATATGAATCGTTACTTGAACTCCACTTCAGAATAGTAAGTAAACTTGGTATTTCCTGGTATATTTATAAGAAAAACTTTTCTTCAGCGAACCTCACAGTGGATCTTCTGTATATCACATGTCCTTCCTGTTATACGCTATGTTGGGGGCCCTACTTACAATTATCACTTCCAACTTGGCTACTTTCGTTTACGGACGTCAGGATATCAAGAATGTGGATGAGAATCTGCTGGCTCCAGTTATTCAGCGCTACTTGCGAAAAAATAATTACTATCAAACCGTAGAGTTGAAGAAAGTTGAGGCACCCAAGCTCAGTGAAAGTTCCGATTAGGCATTCGATTTAACCTTTGGTTTTTTCATTGCTTTACAATTTTGTTCCTATTGGTTAGTATGAATAAGTTCATACATCAACATCTTACATAATTGTTTTCTATTTTCTGCAAACTATTATACAATGTACATTTCGATGGCTTTTGTTACTTTGTTCCTTTAGTTGAATAAACATGAAATAGGCTTCTACATTGGTTGTTTAAAAAGGGTCCAAAAATAAACCAGTCATTTGGATTATTTAAACCTGGTAGTCTTTATTTCAATTTGTACTACAAATTGATGCCTCAATTTGCTTTGACTACTAAGACTACCAATTGCAAAGTACGAAAAGGATTGGCAATTCTTTGGATTCCTTTGTACGTACAAAGCAATTGGATGCCTTAACAGTTTTTTGTTGCAGGGTCTGCATAAAACACATCCTTTATTTGCCTTTATTCTGACAAGTTTTGCGAACTAATTTTCGCCGGGGAATCGGTTGATTGCGGACGTAAGGGGGATACGTCATGGCCGGAAGGCAGATAATTTTATCTTGCCGGAGGTTAGAGGATCGGGATGAGCTGTTTCTAAAGACATTTGAAGAATGTTGCGGCTGAATCAACCGCTTAGGATGGGAGGAAGAGCGTCCGGAAAGGTCTGGCATACTGTAGGAAGTGGATTGTCTTGTGAGATCAGGAGTATTTGCCTGCTTGGAAGACGACCGGGACATCTGCCTGCTCCTGGCCGTAGATTCCTGATCCGTACTGGAGCTGTGCAAGTGGTAAACCAATGGCTCCTGCTGCTGGCACAATTGGTGCTGCGGGGCTTTCGGCACTAGTTCCTTTGCCTCGCCACCAGTGCTTCTTTTCGAGAGATCCACGCTGGAACTCCTGCTTTTACGAACCCGTGCAGTTCGCACCTCCTTGCAAGCGCACATCCGCTTCCGTTCCCACTCCAACTTCCGGTCCCTCTCCAGATCCTCCTCCTCCTTGCGCCGCTGCTTGTTCGCCTTTGCTTGATTGAGGGCTCTGTAGTGCACGGTTTGGTTGTCGATGAGCATTTGGGTGACGAATTTGAATTGGTTCAAGCTCGCTTCACTCTGAGCGGCAATTTCTAAGGGTAAGTGCTGTTTAATACGCTTCTTTAACTTACTTTTACTTAGCTGATAACAATTAGATTTTACATAAAAAGCTAACTTAAATGGAACTCTTACTGTTGGTGACATCGCGGTAGATTTTATTGAGCATCGCCTCCTGATTCTGTAGGTCCTTCGACAGTCGTTCCATTTTGGCTACGGATTCCTCAAAGCTCTTGGACACCATTCGCTGCACAGCATCCTGTACCGATTCCAGGACATTGTCGTGAATGATGCTAAAGAAGTCGGCGAAGGATTCCTGCAGATCGCGATTGGGATCGTTGCTGGGACTGGAGGTCATTTTATTCGTATCTCTATCGTCGCCACCTGGCTTGCGAGTGTCCTTTTCACTCGAACAAATCACGGGCGTTAGCCGGAATCCCACGCTCCTCGAGGACGAGTCCTTGGCCCGCAAAGAGCTCGACTTGGATATACTCCTTTGGCGCTCCGTTCGATGGCGAGTCCTTCTCCTGCCGCCTGACGTCACTGAAGGAGCGGAATGACGTATGGCCTTGCGCTGCAAACTGTCCTTAGCGATATAGTCTCTTTTTGTAACATCATAGTCCGACTGTCTGGCGGATTTCGTAAAGCAGTAATTTGGAAACATGACTTTTTGACGAATTTTTAGGGTGTAGATCGATTTAAAATTGGCGGCACATATTATTGTAATAAAATCTTTGACTTGGCATCATGTGAGGCGATGGACGTTAGCTCTTTTTGAGTTACAAAGCTTAGGGTTTTTTTCAGATATTAATTTTGAACGATAAATCCAAAATGGTGTTGCACTAAACCATTGATTACTCTTTCGATAATTTGTAATACAACAATATTTAATTATTTATCTCTTTTTCGTAAACGCTTCAACAAATAATAATGAAAACCAATCAATTTAGCACAAATAAACAAACGTAAGCAAATAATTTTCCCCATTATTTTCCACAGCACTTTGGAATTGTTTACTAACTTGCTAATAGCATTTCAATTAAAAGTTAATAAATAAATTGCAAAATCATAATTGCACAAATTTTGCAACTGTCCGCCATTTGAATAAGCTTCTTAATGGATTTTTCCTCCTCCATTGAGTGCAATGAGGCGAATGGCCGACTGGGAAAAGTATTTCTGCAAAAGGACCTGAAATGAATTTATTTTCCAACCATCCCATTAAGTAACCATAGTTTCCATCTGCTCGCCGAAGCGATTAAATATCAGACAGGAAGTGGAGGTAGTAAATTCGCCAGGGTTGATGCTTCTCATGGATTTAACCAGCCTCAAAACAAACATAAACAGCATGAATATCCAGATATCCATGGTAAATTTGCCATTTGCAGACAATAAGAGTAAAGTACATAGCCTTCGGCTGTTTGCTGAGCCCACAGCAACCAATATGTTTTCATTGTCTGCCTGGTTTGTCGCTCAATTTATTTGTGATGTTGACTTTCTGACGGTGACGTCAGTGGAGGCCACAACCAAAACCACATCATCGCAACAATTATAAATGGTGTGGGCGGCAAAAATCGTCCTTGTGCCCATTGTTCAGTGGGGCGAACTGAAAAGAAGATTTTCCAGCGCGTGCCAGGAAATTGAATGAAAATGCGGTACACTCTTGAAGTCGTTGCCTTTATTCAGCTTTCACACATAATTATGAAATAAATATTAGCTTAAACCAAATTGACTACAACGTTATGCTCTATTAACTCTTATGGTCTACTTATGCTTAATGGGTTTTGGTTTAAGATGCTTGGGCATGTTTATACACCATTACGAGTGGCTATATACACGGATGAGTTGGAATTTAAATGGCCTTAACAGCTAGTTAGGACTGGAAAGAAATGCATTTTAAATTTCTGAAGTAAAATCAGTCTGTTTAATAGAATACAACTAAAACGAGCTAATAATGGATTGAAACCTAGATTCTCAGTGGTGTCACAAAAATCACAATAGTTAAATAGTTATTCACTTTCTCAAGTAATATATTGAAAGCAATAACGCCTAATTAAATGCTTCAGGTAAGTTTTCTGGAAATAGTAGAACCTTTGTACTAAAGTTCTCCTGAAAGTCAAATTATATTAAGTGTCTTACTCCAACATTAAAAGTTA